TAAGCAAGTTACTATAAATAAAGAACTCCAAGTGAGTCAGGAGAAGTCAGGCAGTTTGCTGCTAGGCTTGTGGGTGAGAGAGAGAAACCCGGACGAGGGAGGTAGACAAACTTGACCTCGCATATGCAGGGTCTATCGAGAACTTTTGCCTGAACCTATGGGTTCAGAATTGCCCCACATAAAAATCGACTTTGTGCCACATTCTGCCTTTTGGGGAAGGATGGGGTCTGGTAAATACCAGACCGTTGGAGTCAGTAGAGAAGAATTTCTAACAGATATCATGGCAAGTGTCTAAGGGAGACATATTATCACTGCTAGGAGTGAGTTATAACAATTTGTATGCTTACAACCAATATATTTATACAATTTGTATGCTTGGAACCAATATATTTATTAAAGATACTTTAGAAACGATGAACAAGGGTGAATATGTAGAATAATGTGTGTTTCAAGGCTCTAGGTCATTCTTCTGAGTAAATAAAGAACTTTTCAGCACTCACTTTTTTTTTGTTTGCATATATATTACATATAGTCTCAGTTACTTAATTTATATGTAAAATACTTTTCACTTACTGCCTAATTTAGTAGACTATTAAAAGTGGACTATTTAGAAACTATTGTATTAATCATTACTTGTATATATTTTTCTATTAGGTGTTTAAAATTTCACAATAATATAGACTAAGATGAAAATTTTAACAAAGGCAGATTTTTCTTTTCATTGCATCATTTTAAGCTTTTTAAATCAGTTTAATTTTTGGTTTTAGCATTTTGTTTTATGAACTGGTATAAAAAAAAATTAATGAACAAGATCTGGAATTATATTTTATTAAGAAAAATAAAAACAGAAACAGATTTTTCACTGCATTCTGAACTTTTCTGATAGCTAACTAGTCTGGTATCTTCTTTTAAATTGCTAGTATTAGCAGGAAAATTTTTTTGTTAGAAACCAAAAAAAAGTAGTATTGAACTGTTATGTAATATCAGTCCTCCTATATGGCAGAGAATGCAGAACAATCTCCTCACAGATGAAGAGACTTGAAGCAACAGAAATGTGGTTCTACAGAAGGATGCTGAGAATACCATGGACCAAATGGAAACAAAAAGGACACATACTTAAGATCAGAAAGAGATAGTTGAAATTTCTAGGGCACATAATGAGGAAAGGGGGCTTAGAAAATTTCATACTCACAAGACATATTCAAAGCAAGAGAGACAGAAGGGAAATGATGTATAACCTACCTATTGAGCTTGAGTAAATAGATGGTTGAACAAGGTTTAGGAGAGATAACAAAAATACAAAATTTATTAAGAGCTACAAAAGAGGAAATTGTGGAGAATAATGAATGGACACTGCACATAGGTGATTATTAATTTTAATTATTTAAATCTTTTATTAGTCACCTGGATAGAAACTCTGTATAGGACTATGTCAACTCTAAAACTTAACTAACCTGTCTTGTAGATACAATTTATTTACTTGCTTGTGTGCTAGTTATAAAGAGGTTAAGTGACATTTTCGTGTGTGTGAATTTTTATAAGGTTACCTGTCAGATTACTTATATACAGTTTTACTTTTCTCCTAAGCCTTGCATATAAATCCAATTTCTATAGAATGAATCCTTTCTATACGAGTCAGCATATTCCTAGCTTAATACAGTTATTCATTGAAATTTGATCTGGTGTTTTTATCAAATAAAGATTTGAGCGAAACGATTAATGGATTAGGAGCATTAACAAGGAAGTATATTGTTGAAAATAAAATAGTAGTTGCATAAATGAATAAATATTTAAAGCTTTTTTCTATCATTAAGCTATGGACTTATAGATGTGCTTATATATTTTATGTGTAATATTTGTAGCTTTTATGTTTAATCTTGTTCTACTATTATTTTGGTGAAAACATATTGCTACTTAATCTTGATTGATACAAATGTTTAATTAAGAAGTGTATTCCCGAATTGGCTCTTGTTCTCTCTAAGCTGTATTATAAATGCCTTGCTGTCTTGCTTTCCATTTGTTGTTCTAGTTATTAAGAAATCAGGTGAACCATCTGACCCTTCCAGCTATCAGTCATTTAGCTTTTGACCTTTCCTTGACAAACTACTAGAGTCTCTAATCAATGCTGAATTAGTTAAGCATCTCACATTACATGGCCTTCTTTCAGACAAGCAATATGGCTTTTGTTTCTCTAGATCAACTACTGATGTATTGATGATTATTGCAGAAAGAGTCTATCAAGCTTTACATAAGAATGATGAAGCTTCGAATGTTGCTTTAGATCTCTCAAAAGTATTTTACAGGATTTGGCATACTGGTCTTCTTCACAAGTTGCAAAGTTATAGTGTCTTCAGACAAATTTTTGAACTGATTCAGTCTTATCAAATTGTGAAATGAAAGTTGTCCTGAATGGCCACTCTTCTAGATCCTTTTGTACTAATTCAGGTGTCCCCCAGAACTCTATCCTCAGTCCCACTTTGTTTTTAATTTTCATTAATGATCTTCCTGATGACATCAGCTCTCAACTTATATCAAGACAGGAGTAAATGATTGTGTCATTAGTATAGATACCAAGTCTGATCAGTTCGATATGGTCAAATTGGCAGCTGATCTCAGAAACAACCTACAGTGGCAAAGAATGGCTTGTTAATTTTAATGCCTCTAAAGCAAAACTGCTCTCTATTAATCATCTGAGAAACCCCTTTCTGCTTTCATAAGTATGGCTGATGCTAACCTCCAGGAGATTGACTTGTTGCACTTTCTTGGGTTAACATTTTCTGCTGCCATGAAGTGGAAAGATTACATTGCTAGGTCAGCTGCTAAGTTGTTTCACTGTGTCATTCCAGACAATTTTTTTTTCTCCAGAATCTATCTTACATATCTATAAGTCTACCATTCTCCCATGCTTGGAATATTGCTGCCACATATGGTCCTGTGCTCCTGCTATTTATTTAGAGATTCTTGAAAAAAATCCAAGGAAAAATCAGCAATATTATTGGTCCTGACCCAGCATCTCAGGTTCAGTCACTTCCCTACCGCAGTAAAGTTGCTTCCCTGTGCCTTTTCTATAAATACATTCATGGTAATTGTTCAACTATTGCTCTTCACTATGGTATCTAAATTTTATAAATTTAAGTGCAGTACTAAATTGGGAAAAAGGTCTCAACAATTTAGTCGAATTGGCTGAGATGTAACTGTAAGTTCTCTGTTAAGTTTCTTCTCTTGCACTTGTGGAACTCTCTTCTGGCACTATGCTCTCTGGTCAAGTGTTTTATGTTTTCTGATTCTTTCATACTCAGTAACCTCTTGTCTTAGTGGCTTTACTTTACTACCTTGCACAGGAATAAATTTGATTAAGAAAAGAAAATATTATATAAAAAGGATCTCTCTGTTTGGTAGTTACTTGTTGAAAAATATTGCTAAAAATCAGATAATTCAATAAATTCTGAGTTTTTGTGTAATATCTATAAATCAAGCCAGGAACTTTATTAGTCATAGCATATGATATATTTGTTTCACTTTCACTTTTGTTCATTCATTTATTCAGTTAGCACATTTTGTGCCACTGTGGTCACCACACCCCTCCATCTCACAATTGTGGTTCATGGGGACATTCAAGGTAGAATATTGCAATGGCTTGCTGGTTCTTTTTGCACTGGGAATGTTGAGGTTACCTTGTCCCTCTTCTCAGAAGTTAAAGTTAAATAATTTTTCTCTCCAGAATCTACCTTATATATTTATAAGTCTACTATTTATCCATGCTTTGAATATTGCTGCCACATCTGGTCTGGTGCTCCTGCTATATATTTACAGATTCTTGATAAAATCCAAAGTTATGCAATGTTATTGGTTCTGACCTGGTATCTCAGCTCCAGTCACTTTCCCATTGCCGTAACATAGCTTCTCTGCGCCTTTCCTATGAATACTTTGATATGAAATAATGTATGCAGACACCTTTTCAGACACTTCCCCACAGCTGTAACATAGTTTCTCTGTGCCTTTTCTATAAATACATCCATGGTAATTTTTTTTTTTTTTTTTTAAATCAGGATCACCCCAAACAAGGCAATAATGCCACTAAAACACAAGGGATTACAGGGGGTTGCAGAATTAGGAACAAAACATTAATGATAAGCAGAAAGAGAATAATCATGTGGACACTAGATAGCAATTGACATTGCATTTAAATTTTTGTAGATTAAAGAAATGAACTTTCCTCTATGGTATCTAGATTTTCAGAATTTAAGCATAGTACTTGATTGACTACAAGGTCTCATCAATTTACTATTGTAGTGTCTCGATATAACTGTAAATTTCTTGCTAACAATTTCTTCTCTTGCACTACTTGCTTGTGGGACCCTCTTCTGGCTTCTTGCTTTCCAGTCAACTTTGATCTTCAAAAATTAAAATGCAATATCAATTTTTATATTCTGTCTTAATTCTTATCCTTTTATTGTTTTCTCTTCTTATTTTTTTCTTATATTCTTTAGCACTCAGTAACCTTAGTAGCTTTATTGCCTTGCTTTAAAATGATTTATTCATGTCTTTATTTCACTTTAAGATTAACAAATTCATTTATTCACAATATCCTTTCTGCCATATTGGTTTTCTGTATTTTGTTTTCTTATTCATCATTCTGTATCATTAATAATTTTTGTGATTAGAGTTAAATTTCCCCAGATAATAGACATGCCACCATGTGAGAGTAAAATATCTATGAGTTAATAAAAATTACTGTCATCATGAATTTATTTAGGGATATAATTGGATGTATCCATGTCAATTGCAAACAAACTAATGATTATTTGAAAAGCATCTTGGATCATCATTCTATTAAAATTCTTTCATTTTATATGATTTCATAATAAGGTTCATTTTTTTGTTTTTATTTACTGTTTTTTTTTTCTTTACTTTCTTTGCAGTCCAAAAAGCATTATGTTTGTGTTCCTACGGATACTTCTGTTGAAGATTTGGCAGATTTCATGGGTCTCTACTGGAGAATGCGGAGTCCCAAAATTGTTTTGTCTGTTGTTTCTGGAATCAAACATTTTAAAGGCTGGAAAAACCCAAAACTTAAGGAGCAGTTTCAAAAAGGCATAATAAAAGTAAGTTCCACTGTATACTTTTTGTCTAAGTAGTTACAAAAGGACAATCTTTTTTTTTGATTCATATAACATGTGATATGATAGTTTTCATGTGAATGTGGGACATACAATTTATATTGCCATTGTTATTAACCTTCAAGATATGTATTTTGAAAATATACATGTCAGATTTTGAAATACTTGGCAAGAATTGAGCTCACTATCAAGTCAATAACTTGTCAGGTATTTAAGAATATACTATTTTCTCTTGCTATTTAGTGTATATTTTCTTTTTTCAGGTATGGCTTATATAAGAATGCAACTGAATTTTAAGAAAAAACTTTTATTTCTTTCTTACATAAGAATATAATATAAGACAAGACAAAAAGCAAACTGACCAATTTGCAGTTTGCAAATTTATTGGTCAGTTTTAATAAAGAATTCCTAATGTTTTCTAGGTGCTAACTGACTTTTTTTCCTTTTTTTTTCTTTTTTCTTTTTTGTTTCTTTCTTTTTTGTTTCTTTCTCTTTTTTGTTTCTTTCTCTTTTTTGTTTCTTTCTCTTTTTTGTTTCTTTCTCTTTTTTGTTTCTCTTTTTTCTTTCTTTTTTTTCTTTTCTCTTTTTCTCTTTTCTTTTTCTTTTCTTTTCTTTTTTTCTCTTTTCTCTTTTCTTTTTTTATTTTTCTTTCTCTTCTTTTCTTTCTTTCTTTTTATCTCTTTCTTTTCTTCTTTCTCTTTTCTTTCTCTTCTTTCTTTTCTCTCTTTTCTTTCTTTTTTTCTCTTTCTTTTTTTTCTTTTCTTTTTTTTTTTTTCTTTTCTTTTTTCTCTTTTTCTCTTTTCTTTTCTCTTTCTTTTCTCTTTTCTTTTCTCTTTTCATTTCTTTTTTCTTTTTTTTTTTCTTTTTACAGAGTAAGAGGCTTAGCTTATGCGGATATGTGTGAAAGATAATGTTTAACATTAGATTTGAACAGATTAAGATTTTAGTGGTCAGGGAAGCAAACTCTTGGGAGTAATTCAGTTTCATCTGCTCAATGGCTGACTTCAGTTTGTGGATTTGTTGGTCTGCTGATCAATAGTTTAATAATACTAATATGTTATTGTTTTTGCTTCTTTTATCACTTATTTATAGTATGTGGAATTATAAAATGTTCACTTTTGCAAATATTATGATATAGAGATTTGCAGAGGAAGTGTTATATACCCCCAACCGGACTGTTCAAGTGGATCATTGAATAAATATCCAAATATATTGGAAACTGGATTAGTTTTCATTTCTCACTATGGTGTTCACTTGACTTTTTATTTCCCTTGTGAATATATAATGAAACTTCCCAGTTTTTGTGCACACTGAAGCAGATGAGAATAGAAAAACACCATGGGGTTAATTGTCCAGTCTGAAAAGCTGAAAGAGGGACTCATTGTATGTTTACATTTGTCTCAAGTATATTATGTGGTACTCAATCATACCCTCTACTTTTTTTCTACAGTACTCTCTAATAAATGATTGAATGGATTATTTTTTTCTTTCTTATTTTTTCTTATTTTCATCAGTGCAGCATTTTTGTTTGTGATAAGGTTATTAATAGTTTCAATTAAAAGAAAATTTAACACTGCATATTTGCAATAATACTTGCTAAAAATGTCTGCTAAAATTTCAGATCTTTTATTCTGTTCTGATTCTAATAGCAGATTTGATTGTTTTGAGACAATTTTTTTCAAAGATTCTTTAATGGAAGCAACCAGGAGGCATAATTGATAATTACCATTTCTTAATGGATTTGGTAAAAATCTTTTCACTCTCAGCAGAATTGCAACAGTGAATACAGAATTGTAGCTATAGTAAAATAGAATTAGATGTCTCTGTGTTTATAAATAGCTAAAGGATTTGTGTTCTAATTTTAAATAATTAAAAAGGATAATCATTACATTTAGAAAAGATAGATTTTTATGTAGACCAAAGTTGTTTTCTCTGTGTTAATATAAATCTTAATTATATTGAATGTTCTAACATTTTATTTATTTTAGTAAATTATAAATTAATCAACCAAGGAAATAATTTATTATAACTTATATTTGGTAGCTATTCATATTGCTCTGGCAAGGAACCAATATGGAAACATTTCAAATCTTATTAGGAGTACCTCAAGGAGGAAATGAGAGCCCCAGTCTATTTAATCTTTTCCTAGACTATGGTCTGCACAGTTTCAGACACAGATGTGAAGAGATGGGCACTAAAGTTTTAATTATTCTATACCACATTCCAAACAATGGGATATGGTATAGAATATAAGTATAAGACTTGGTATAAGACAATGATTCTGCTTTCCCTCCCAAGGTCAATGAAGGGGACTGTGCTGATGACAAGTGTTCATAATTGGGATAAGAATGATCTTGAACAGAAATTTAACATCTACCAAGTGTTCCAAGAAATAGGACTCAAAATAAACCTTTCCAAAATGGAAACTATGAGCTGGAATTAGAATGGAAGCAGTGTGGGCATATAACCTGAATCTATCATAAAAATTCAGGATGTGAATTTAGTAAAGACTAAACACTTCAAATACCTTGGTATGTAGATCAGTTATAGCAAATCTAATATAGGAGAGAAGGAAATTGAATGTAGAATAAGCTGCACTAGAAATAGTTTCACCCAACACTGCAAATTGCTACCTAAATCAAAATATTAACCTAAAAACACAAGTCATGTTCTTAAATAGCTTCATCAAAGTAAGACTTTCATATGGATATCATGCATGGCACTAAACTGGTACAGGATTATCAAAACTGATAGCTGTATATAACTGCTTTCTAAGATCAATCATTAAAAAGGCTTTAAGTTAGTGAGGCCTGAGGGTTTTGGCAAAGATCATCCTTCTTTGAACATTGTGAACTGTCTCTACAGAATCATAAACAAAGAACTGTACCAAATAACAGAAACCCCATCACTTGAGGCCTTTCAACAGCAGCAACAGCTGAAATGGATATCACAAGTAACTCAAAGAGAAATTAATGATATAATCAAGATGTTGACATTCCACGCTACTTCGAACAAAAGGTTAGAAAGGAAACTGTCATCAATAGTGGAAAGAGCAATAACAGCTCCTAAACTTGACCAGAGTATTTTCCTGTAAAACTGGTTGAAGAAAAAGATTTTATAAATTTTAACCAAAAGTAGTATAAGTTGCTTGGTCAATGGAAGCTGAATGTTTCCTTATAAGGAAACTGTTAATATTACCATTAGATATGATTCTCCATGGAAAATATTTTTGCTAATTTATAATGAATGCTTTAAGTTGTTTTTTTTTTTTTTTTTTTTTTTTTTTTTTTTAAACTATTGCTCACCTAATACATGGCTCAAGTGTCACTTGAACTAGAGGGTTAATGAATGGGGGCGTTGTAAGTGTTACATATTATGAGGATATGTATGATAGATGGTTGATTGTTGACTTGAAAAGGTTAAGATTGTAGTGATCATGGAAGCATCCACTTGGGTGTCCAGTCCACATTGCAACAATACTAGGGAAGATGTCTGAATTGAACTTCCTCCTTACCAATGGAATATGAAGGGAATGATTATGTTGACTCAGTGTATGCAGCATGGCGAGTCCTAACTGTGAAGGTCTGAACTAGTGGAACCAAGAAATGTAGTTCGCCCAAACATTTCTTATCTATTTTAGTTGTATTGTGTTACTTATATCGATCTGGATGAGTAAAAATAACGCTCATAGTAATTTCAGTTTTCAGGATTAAAATAAATAAAAAGATTTTCTATTTCATAAGATAGTAAAATCTTTATTTTATTTTTTTGACTGAATTTTTAAAAAAATTTTCATTTGAATAGATCTTTCTGACATGTGTACAAGCTGTAAATTTTTCAGTACCAATTCATATGTTAAAAAGATCTATTCAATTTGTGGGAAAAATTGACGGTTCAGGTGGGAGGAGTAAAGTACTTACCTGGGTTGTTGTTCTGGTCGACTAAAAGCTGTTACCTTTTTTTACTAACTTTTTATAGTTATAAGGTCTCGTGACTTGTTATTACGTGATCACTAAAGTGGTTATAAAGGAAATGTTTATTCCTCTTTTTTTTTTTTTTTTTTACCCTTTGTTATACTATGCTAGTTATCTGACGGAGAATCTATGTTGCAGAAGTAATTATTTTTTTCACAACTTAAGGTAAGTACCTTTGCTCATTTTCCCGGCCTGCACCGTCACCGATTTTTTTTTTTTTTTTTTTTTTTCTTGGGTTGAGATTTTCTCAACAGATTTAAAATTTGAAAATGAAATAAAAAAAATTACAAAATCAGTATTTCAATTACTGAATATAGTTTTTTTTTTTTTTTTTTTTTTTTTTTTCTAATGTGGGAGTTTCAAAGGATGAAAGAAACTTTAGAAATAATGTACCAGATATGTTGAACTGCAGGGTGAATATATAAAGATGGCATATTGCATTGAAATTTCTACTGGCAGTTTTGAACTGATTGCCTTTTTAATTATGTGGTGTTTTATTAAATGTCTAAATGTTATATTCAATTGTATGTTTTCCTTTTAGGCTGCCAATACTACTGAACTGTGGATAATCACAAATGGAGTTGATGGAGGCATTGCAAAGACTATCGGCGATGCCATCCATGAAGAGAAAATTCACAGGATTAGCAACCGTGTTCAACAGGCATACTCATCAATACGTTCTGAGTCAACTCTTAAACTTCCAAAGCTTACATGCATTGGAATAATGCCAAAAAATTGTATTACATATGAAAATTCCTTTGATGGCTTGGTAAGAAGTTAGCGTTTTTTATAAATTTCATTTTCTTTTTCTCATTGTTACATAAATAAAATAATCCTGGTCAATTTCTATTTAGATAAATAGAAATTGACCAAGATTATTAAATAATAAATCTGGTCAATAAATAATACCTATCATCTGATAGGTATTATTTATTGACCAGATTTATTATCTGATCACTGCCACTTTCACATTTTAATCGGCTTTGGTCACCTTAGTTGTAATTATTTTCTTTATAATGTTTTTTTTGTTTTTTTTTGTTTTTTTTTTTAAATCATTTCACCTCAAGCAAGGCAATAATGTCAACAGGGCACAAGGAGTTACTGGGAGTGAAAGAGAATGAGAAGACTTTAGTAAGGAGAAAGGACAGTAAAAGTACAGAATTCAGGAAGGCAGAAGATGGCAAGTAATGTTGCATCTATATTTTTGAAGATTGTAGGTGGCAGGAAATGAAGAAACTGGAAGAGTTTCAAAGGCAAGAAATGCAAGAAAACAAACCATTAGAATAGATCTTGCTAGTTCAACAGTAAAAACAATGGAATCTAGTTGCTAATCTAGTAGTACACTTAAATTTATGCAGTCAAGGTAACAAAATAGAAAGCTCATTAGAATAACTGCCATAAAAATATTTATTGAAAAGACAGCCATGTTTAACGGTTAAAGGTTAGTTTTGAGTGAATGAAGCCTGTGGGACCATAAGGACCATACTGCTTTGATTTTTGTGGAGTCATGCTACAGAGTCACAAACAAAAATCTCTACCAAATAACAGAAGCCATATTGTTTGAGAACTTAACAACAATTGGTAGCAAATAAAATGGATAGTACATGCAACTCAGTTGACATAATCAAGATGTTGACATTCCACGCTACTTCAAAGAAGTTATGAAAGAAGCCCCTCCCCATCAATACTAGAAAGAGCATAACAGCTATTGCTTTTAGGCTGCACTCAAGGTAGTTTCATTCGTGAAAGTTACTGCAAAACCAAAACATTAACCTAAAAACTCTAGTTATGTTCTTAAATAGCCTTGTTAGATCAAGGCTTTCCTATGGATGTCATGCATGGCAACACTCATTCAGAAATACCTAAATCTAAGCTGTGTACAACCAATTTCTCAGATCAGTGATTAAAAATGACTTTGAAGGAGTAAACCCTGTAGGTCTTAGGGAGGACCATCATTCTCTGAAATTCGTGAACTTGAGCTACATAATCACAAAGAAATGTACCAAATAACAGAAATTGCATCACTTGAGGACATTCAATAATAGCAACAACTAAAATGGATGGCACATGCAACTTGAAGAGAAAATGACAATATTAAGATGTTGATGTTCTACACTACTTCAAAGATAAAAGTTAAGAAAGAAGCCTACATCAATACTTGAAAAAGCAATAACATCTACCTGACTTGAGAAACCTATTTTTCTGAAAAATTGTTTTAATAGAAATATTTTATTAATTTCAACCAAAAGTAACACTGGATGCTGGGTCAATAAATGGCAAATGTTTCATTATAAGGAAATGGCCACTATTGTCATTATCATCTTCTTTTGCATTATGGTGTATTTTTAACACTTAAGTTTTAACTTAAGTATATAACTTATTAAAAGCTTAAACATACAATATATGTACATTTGTATTTGTATATATTTGTTTATTTTTCTATAACAGACTTCTTGTATTTCATACTTAATAAGCTAACTGAATGATAGAATGGAAAAAATCCTATGTGATGTTTCTTCCTTCAAAAAGACTTCTTCAAATTAAAAAAAAATGTCTGTTTGAAGGACAAAACATGTTACATAGGATTTTTTTCCATTAAGAATTTCTTCTGAAGGAACTTGTCACATAGAACCTTTTTTCCATTTTGTCATTTAATTACCAAACTTTAGTCTGATATATATAATCTATATATCATGACATTGAAACACTGATCCTCATATGATCACCAAAGTTAAACAACATCAAGCCTGGTCAATACCTAAATGGCTGACCACTTGAGAATACGAGGTCCAGTAAGCTTGGGTATACAGGTGATGTAATGGATAATGGCTTGATATTAGAAATCAAAGAGTTGAGTTCCAATTCCAGTTGTTTCTTATATTCATTTATGCACAAATACCTTTAGAAAAAGTATGAATCCACCTCTTCTCCCCCAGCTATGGGGTAATTAGTAAGACTTGTAACATTAAATCATTATTATCTAAAAAAAACAAAACATTCTTACAGTCTAAAAATATTTTCTGGCTTAAAATAACCTTCAAAAGGGTTAAGCTGTAGAAAATGAATCAAGCAATTATATATCATATTCCCCCCTACTGAATAGTCAATGAGTCTTGGTAGACTAATACTATAATATGATGGAAAATAATAGTACAATCTGAAAATTGTTAAAAGTATTAAAAAATGATAAGCAAAGAAAAATTTGAAATTTTTTAATTATAAATTAGATAATAAAGATTCAAACTCCTCTCCAGTTTTTTGAATAGGAGTAGAGATTCCCCCAGTCCTTTTGAATAGGAGTAGAGATTCCCTATTTAGAATCAGTTTTCTGGTTCCCTTTAGTAGCCTTTTATGTCTTGGTGGGATTGTCAGCTTGCTTGGCACAAATTGATTAAAAAAGTGTTTGATTATCTATATTATCATTTTAGTGACATTATCACCTTGCTTGGGCTGAATTGATTTGAAAAATAAAAAGAATTTTATATTTACTCTGATTTCTTTCTTTTTCAGTATGATGGGCCAATAATAATAAAAAATGAAGGACACAAACCCAATTCTGATTCTTATGATCTGAACGCTGACCATACCCACTTCATTCTCGTGGAGGATGAACCTGGGGAACAGTACATTTTTAGTAATTTCCGGTGTTTGCTTGAACAGAGACTTGGATCAGAGTTGGGTAGGCCACATCGATTTAAAAGGTTTTTCAGTAATGGTAAGTCATGAACAATCAAACATTATCTTATTTACACTATTTACATGCAGACTATTGTCCTCATCCTTGTTGCTGTCACAACATTTTGGCTGTTGTGCCATCTGGCCTTACGTGTATATCGATCCAGATAACCTACAGGGAATTCTGAACTATACTGTTTATTTAATCTACTCTGCTCATTCTAATACCCATGTCTAGGGATATCTCATCTAGTTCTTATTTTTAGTACTACTCAGATGAGGATAATAGTCCATGTAAATAATGACTCCTCATCCCAGAAATTTGGACAATCACTACCGGTTTGAAAATTTGTTTCCTTTTATTAAAGTCCACATGATAGTAGATCTTGTTATCCTATTGACTGCTTTAGACAAGACAAAATAAAATGACTGTTACAAAGCATTATGAATATAAATTATCACCATAAATATTGCTTTATGTAATATAAGTGTATAATAATTCTAGTTTGTCTATATTATTATACACTTACATACATAAAGAAATATTTATGGTTTTTCAGGTAGGCTTAGAATCTGTTAATTTCTTGAAGATTTGTAAGAATCCATCATCTCTCCGTGAATTCAAAATGCCACAAATTATACTAACGTTGGTTTAAAAAGTCAAATTTGCATGAAACATGATTAGCTAATGAAAATTAAATAACACAAACGTAAAAATACCAGAATTTCGTAGCCATGAAGATTAGTACTGGTGGAACTAAGGAATGTAGTTTCTCTGAACACTTTCCATGGAAATAGCAATAGAGTATCCTAGACTTGTTACTTTTTGTCTGTGGGAAAGAGGTAGTAGGGTGGAAAATCTTAATCACCCATAAAAATGCGGAGATGCTTTTGAATTCTCTCAAGACTTGAAAGTGAATAGTAGTGTTAAAAAAAAAACATGCTTCATTCCCATTGTATTACACTGTTAAGAAAAAAAAATTGATCAGCTTCTTCTCATGAAGAACTGCTTTTTGGAACAAAATCCCGAGAGAATGCTTCCCTGATCATTAAAATCTTAACCTCTTCCTGTCTAGGGACACATTATCTATTCTCCATAATCTTCAATAATAAATATAAATAATCTCATAATCTACAAATATAAATATAAATTTGAATATATGTTGCTGCTTTTTATGATCTGAATAAATGTACATATCTATGTATCTTGGAAGAAGCCATATTAATATGTATATTTGTGTTAGTTTCCTATACTGCTAAACTGCCATATCAAGTTGAAACATAGGTTCCGATATGATCACCAAAGCTAAGCAATGTTGTGCCTAGTCAGTAACTAGATGGGTGACCACTTTGGAATACCAGGTGCTTTAAGCTTGGATGTGGGGGAACTGTAATGGATAATGGCTTGGAATCATTAATTGGAGAGCAGAGTTCCAATTCCAATTGGGTTTGTTATGTTTACTTATGTGCAAATACCCTTGGGAAATGTATGAATCCTTCTTTAGCTATGGGTTAATTAGTAAGACTTGTATCTCTAAACTGTTATATAAAAAAATATCTTACAATTCAAAAATATTTTCTGTATTTAAATAATCTGCAAAAGGTTGATAAGCTGTAAAAAATGAATGAATCAATGATACACATACATGTACATATGCATGTATCTTGGAAGACACTATACTGATATATGGTAACCTCTTGGGAATATCGAGTGATGTAATTGATAATGGCCCAGAATTGTTAATTAGAGAGCTGAGTTCCAATTCTAGTTGGGTTTGTTATATTCACTTATATGCAAATACCCTTGGGAAAGGTATGAATTCACCTCTTTTCCTCCTGGCTATGGGTTAATTAGTAAGACTTGTATCACTAAATCAGTATTTCCAGATACTACTGCTAGTTATATTGATGTTTTGTTTATTCTCAGTTATAACAGAATGTCTTAACCTCTCACAAATATTAATGCTATATAAAAATAAGCTGTATTTATCTTACATCATTGGTATTAAAATTTTTGTTTTAGAATCATTTGAGAATGAAATGAGAGCAGAAACATCTCCAGCTGCTGTTCCAGTTGTTGGCTTACTCGTACAAGGAGGACCAAAGAGTATAGACCATATTTTGTTTTTCCTCAAAAACAGAATGCCTGTTCTGGTATTAAAGGGTTTAGGTGGGGCTGCTGATCTTGTAGCTTTTTGCTATGAAGAACTTCAGGAAAGGTGAGATGCTTTCCTTTATTAATTATTGAATATTTCAACGGATTACAATCACATTTAGGCTTTCACTGATTCCCAGAATGAAATTCCAATGTTCCAATTTTGAACCTAAACTTAATTTTCAAACTTGTTTCCTCAAAAAACTGTAACGATTTGAAAAAAAATATTTTGTCATTATTTATCATGTCAAACCTCAACTTTCAAATTGAGGGGAAAACCATGGTTCCAAAACTGACTGGTTCTAATGTGTATGTGTTGTCTAGTATATAATATTTTCTCACTTATAGTCACATGTTATTGAAATAGTGATACCCATACGATCACTGAATTTAAGCAATATCAAGTCTGGTCAATACTTAGATTGATGACTGCTTGGAATACCAGGTGATGTAATGGATAATGGCTCAGAATTGTTAATCAAAAAGCCGAGTTCCAGTTGGGTTCATTATATTTACTTATGCACAAATACCCTTGGTAAAGATATGAATCCGCTTCTTCTTCCGCCAGCTATGGGTTAATTAGTAAGATTGGTATCACTAAATCATTATTATCTAAAAAAAACATTTTACAGTCTAAAAACATTTTCTGGTTTTAAATAACCTGCAAAAGGTTGATAGGCTGTAAAAAATGAATTAATCAGTTTAATATTTGAAGAATAGTAATCATTAATATTTTTGTAGCCTTCCTAGCAAAGTGTTTCTCTAGTAACTTCAGTTAATCTTTGTGCCCACCACTTTGGCTATGTGAATTCATGAAGGGGTGCTGAAAAGTTTTCAGCTTAACCCATTTCCTAAAATCTAACCAAATGACCTGACATTGGAATTTTTTTACAGAATCTTGTCTTGAATGAGCAGTGGACATTTCAGTGCCCCTTTTTGTGTATAAATTGATAACTTTGTTTAGGGAAATGATTTTATAAGAAAATTGTCTATTCAAAACTGGTAAATTGCTGCTGCTATTGCTATTAAATCTCATGCCATGAAGTTGTTGAGTCTACAAGATCCACCTTGTCACTCCAGCTCTCATGGTCTTGGCAGAGCATCGGATCATTCTCCAGTGCTAGATTAATCTGTTGGAAGTTGTGGCAGACAATTTTCTTACACTGGCTGCATGGTCAGCTGCCACTTTGCATATGATGGGTGTAATTGGTTGATGACTCTGGTAGGGTAGTCATCAGGTTGTTGCAGGATGTGATCGAGCCAGCAAACATGGCGGTGTGGAGGATGATTGGCTGACCAGTCCTCTAGCAGAGCTCCTCATTGGTCACAAGATCAGACTAGTGTACCCGCTTGATGGTCCTGAGGGCATGGCACTTGAAGCCATAAATAAAAGTGGTGAGGGTCTTGCTGAGAGGCCACATCCCTGCACCTTATAGTAGCAAATATTATCAGATCACTGACTAATTTGTATACATAATAGCAAATTAGAGATGTGGGGAGGATACATTCCCTTTGAGATATTTTTCATATTTAACATACATAACCACATAATGTTATTTTATAATAGAATTCTGAAAAAAAATGATAGTGGTTTCTTCATATAAGTTTTTTGATCAGGGGGTGGTAAATGTCAGTGTGGTCACTAGTAAGAATTTGCATACTTGAATTACATCATTTTCACAGTAATCTGGTGCAAATGATTTTTCTGGGTTATATCTAGCTTGATATCTAGGAAGGGTAAGGAATTGTTTCTCCATTTTGCATGTAAAAGATTATATGAACACAAAAGTGACCTTTTACAAAATAATACATCAAATGCATTAGTTTCTCACCATAATGTGACTGACCACAATTTTGGCATGAAAAATGCTACTCTGATCAAAGAGAAAATATTTCACTATGATGTAAATATCTAGAGAGGGCTTTAATCGCAAGGTCATCGACTGTAAATTTGTGCCCTGGCTCTTACAACATTTCACCATTCCTGCCAGATTTTCTAATATCACAGTGTGGAATACCTACTTACAAGAGTTATGGAAAGAAAAAGGAAAAGACTAAATGAATTCGGCTAGATAAAAAAAAAAACCCTAAAATTCCCAGCACCCCTGTGTCATACACATGTGTAGTTCAACCAACATAACAAATTTAGTCCAATGAAGTCCTGAAGGACAAAACATGTTGCATGTAAACTTTTCCACTTTGTCACACACACACACACACACACACACACACACACACACACACACACACACATATATATTCTCAGATTGAGAGACAAAATGAATGTAGAAGAGACAAAATGAATGAAAAAACAATAGGAAAACTATACTTAGTTTAACCAACATGTTTTGTCATTTTTGTCTTGATAAAGTCCGTCAAATGATGAAACATTTTGGTTAAACTAAGTATAGTTTTCCTATTGTCTTTTCATATATATATATATATATATATATATATATATACACACATTTAAAGTATTGAAGAGTTTTCATAAGTAAGGTGGTTGCTGTCATTGTCAGTTTATTTTTTTAAACTTAACTAAATTAAAAAAATGACACTTTGATGGAAGGTTCTTCTATTTTTGATGAATTAAAATAATTTTCATAAATATTTTGAAGAAAATGTTTTTCTAAGATATTAAGTAGTTAGATTTTTTAGTTATTCTTTCTTTTTCTCTTAAAGATAAATAACTCTAAAATAATATCCTTAAGAAACACCTGAAAGTAGTATAAGTATAATAATACAATTTACTAAGCATAGCTCAGATGTGGCATAAAGCCAAAAGCATGGAGGAGGCGTGAAGATCAAACTCATTACTCAGTTGTAATTAATCTAGCAAGACAAGCTTGCTAACCGTTACATCATGTCGAAGTGCCCAATAATAATTTACTAAGTGAAGCTTAGCTGTGGCACAAACCAAAAGTAAAGAGCACCTAGTGAGGGTCAAATTCACTGCTCAGTCATAATTGATTTAGTGAGACAAGCTTGCTAACCATTACACCATGCTGAAGTGTCCAGAGTTTAGATGTAAAATATTGCAATGTTGTAAATTAATTTCACATGTAAATAAGAGTGGACTATTTCCTTAATTTAAAAAATTGAGTTGATCTTCTGAAAAACAAAACTGAAACTTGTTAAGAAATAAAATCTAAAAGATTAAAAAAAATTAATTTGTCTAATGAATGAATTTTATTTTATTGCTAATCATCAGCTAGGTTGAAAATTGCCTTCCACCAAATTTTTTTCATATTTTACTTTACAACAGTTTATCCAACTTACAGATTGTCTTTTCTTTGTTTTATGATCTAGCACTTATCTTCTGTAATGATCCATCATCACTTATCTTCTGTAATGATCCATCATCACTTATTATTCTGTAATGATCCATCATCACTTATTTTCTGTAATGATCCATCATCACTTATTATTCTGTAATGATCCATCATCACTTATTATTCTGTAATGATCCATCATCACTTATCTTCTGTAATGATCCATCATCACTTATTATTCTGTAATGAGTCATCATCACTTATTATTCTGTAATGAGTCATCACTTCTGTAATGATTTAGCATTTGGCTCCCGTAATGAGCTAGCATTTGGCTCTCGTAATGAGCTAGCATAATGCTGTTGTAAAATATTGATTTCAATAAAATAAATCAATCTCCTGTTTAAAGTTTTTGTCTTTTTGACACACATTAGTTGCTATTTGTGTAAGATTATTTTATTTTGTATGTGATTATTCATAATGGAAAATATTATTTATATAGTTAAAGGTAGTCAAATTGTTTCTCTTGTTACTCAAAACAAGACAACTAATGAGTTCCTTGGCATATGTTAATAGTTAACAAGTTTGTCTGGTTGACAATTACTCATGAATTCACACTTTACTGGTAGATGTTAATTTCACTGTTTGCAAATAAAAATGGATATCTACTAAAACAAATTAAATTAATGACAGTAGTGATTTTAGATAAATGATACAGATCAGTCTATTAGTATTATCATATATAATAGTATTATCATAGATTGAAGTCAAGAAGACAAATTTTTTGTGCATTACTTTTTTAATTTTCTTTTTTTTTCTTTTTTGTTGAAAAGTAAGGGAGCTGGAGCATCATGGATGACAACATATTTGAAAAGACATTTTCATAGATGAAACAAAATAAATCTGCATATCAGTTAGTCTTAACTGATTAACATTCATATTCCATTATATCAGTTATATCCAGAGCTGGATTATGACTTTTATGACGAAGCTAATGAAATTATGTAGACACCCTCCAACTCGACCACATCCGTCTTGAATATTTTTTTTACTTGTGATATATTTGGGCAACATTTACATAACTTGAAGCAAGCTTATTGCAAATTCTTTAAATAAACTGGAATAACTATCTTTTGTTTGTCAAGAAAAATTTTCTTTAAGAAATTCCACTATTTTACTATTTATTGCCAACCAAATTAACAAATTTTTTTACACAATTGTAGTAAAAAAAAAAAAAACAGATTTTTTTATAACCAGCATTATAGAAATAAATCCATGAAAATTAATAAGAGTTTGTCATATTGATATCATTTCTGTTTATGAAATTTATAACATTTAGAAAATTAAAATCACTGATTTATAAAATTTCTAAGATTTAAATATTCTGAACTAAAGTCGAACATTATCTACTTGAAACAATGACACAAACTAAAACATCCTTTACCTTGTTTTGCTTCCTGTAAAGTCAAATGAATATGAGTTTGTCATATTGATATCATTTTAGTTTATTTGGAAGTTATAACATCTAGAAAATTAAATTCATTGCTTTATAAAAGCCTATATTAGCCTAAAGGATAATCCAGCTCTGGTTATATCCCAGAAAATAATTCTTATTGATTCATCATTGGTAAAATTAGTGCCAAAAGAATTCTATTAGAATTTATGCTTATTCATAATCAAAAATATTGTTTAATATGGTTGAATAAAAATCCTTAAAAAATATAGTTATTATAGTTTTGTATATATCCATAGTTTTACTTCCAATGGCTCATGTCCAAAAATGTTTGCTGACTCCAGTTCTAGGAGATTAAGGATATTTAAATAATTTGTATTTAGAAACAGGCAAGAATTTATTACTGTTGATACTGGGTGTAATTGGTTAAATTTAAATATTTGTTTCCCACTAATTATCTTTTCTTTTTCTTCAGGAGTGATCAAGATTTTGAAGAGAATGCTTTGAAGCCTGAATTGATAAAACGAATCACCAAAACATTCCCTGATGATTTTAAAGAAAATGATATTGCTAGAAATGCATTCCGGGATAAGATACTGGAGTGTGTGAAATGTTCTCAAGAGGTTGGTAAGTTAAGCGTACTCTAGTTGTTTTTGAGCTAGATGAGTACAAATGAACATGGAATATGCCTGGCTCAGGAAACTTTTACTACAGTGCCGGTCAAACTCATGAAGACTTTTTAAACTGGATTCTAAAGCCTCTGTTGGTTTTCTGTTTGAGATTTTAGGAATAAAAGAAACCTCTCATAATTGTATATTTCATATTTAGTCCTAGCAAATAAGTTCTTTTAGACTGTTTTATTACACTTGTTGGTTATTTAATTCCTAAATCCATTTACCATATTTTGTGGCTTTCATAAAAAGTTCAAAATCAGGGTTAATAGCTCTAATTTTTGCATTAGATGACCCCCCCCCACCATTTTGAAAGAAGAAATCAGAAAAAAGTTTTCTTTTCCTTGTACTTCATAGCTCTGCCAACTATCCCCAATTTTACCAATTTGTTCCAAAATCCTCAAAGCCTTCAATCTCCCAGTCAGAAGCCTTGCTGCTGGATGTAGTTTATCATCATACCCAAAACTTAAGAATATTTGAGAATATGACTCATGTTTTTATATTAATATTTTGGCTTTGTAACATTTGCCTGTGTTCAATTTCCTTATTTCTAATACTAAATGTGTTATAACTGACCCATACACTGAGACATTTGAAACACCACATTTCACTGCTTATATGATGTATTAGATGACCCCTCCCCATTTTGAAGGAAGAAATCATAAAAAGAATTTTTTCCTTGTACAACATAGCCCTCCCCACTATCCCCAGTTTTACCTCCTGAATAGTATATTTCAGCATGAAAACCTGACTAATCATGAAAAATTCATCACAGACTGAGAAGTACTGAAATTTATGGTAAATATTTAGAAGAGAAGTTACAATGCATAATACCAGTGAATCATAGATACAATAGTATTATTATTAGTGTCTACCATAAATGATGTTGCTTTTTGATCAGTAGCTTAAGAAATAAGAATGGTATTACTGTAGCAGGAATTTCGTTTCCTGTCAATATCCCCATATACCAACTGTATAAATTGCTTCTCTCAAAACATTAATTTAATTTTGAAACACTGGGATTGTTTTATCTTTCAAGAACTCAGAATCAGATGTCAGCTGACACTGACCCCACACCCCAAATTTACAACTCCCTTCACCAACGATGCAGTGTGTTTTTGGAGATATTCTATAGGTAAAAAAATGTGTCTTCTAAGAAGCAAAATGTGGTACTATAAAGATTATGAGGAGGTGCTAAAATGTTCTTGACCTGACCAAGAATGGTTTCCAAAAAACGTTACTGCTGTTCGGTCATTTGGTTAGATTTTGGGAAGTGGGTCAGGCTGAGAACTTTTCAGCACCCTATCATTTAAAAAAGGTTTAGAAGAATTCTAATTCAAAGTTGTTATAGTTGGAAATATGAACATTTTTATTGTTATAATACTTAACGTTGGGGCATGGGGGTGAAAATGTTAAGGTTGACTAGTCTGCCTTTTATTATGTGTCGGTCATTGAAAGTTGTAGATAATCTATGAAGGAAGCAGAGAAAGATTTGATTTTGCTTTGTATTCATAGATAAAGGAATTTTAGGGAGAAGAGAAAATGTTAAATCTCTTACCCTCAGCATTATGAATGGCACAACTGAAAAAAAACAAAAAAAAAAACACTTATTTTGGTGTGAAATTTGAAAGAAATTTATATTTATTAAATGGCATAAAAAATACTAATAATACAGAATACAAAATTTGCAAAACAAACTTGCACAAAATTTTCCTTTGTGCACCAAACAATTAGGCAAAATAACAAATTCTAAGTACAATTCTGTTGGTCTCATAAGAAGAATTATAATTATTATTATTTTTGTGATGTCAGCAAACACTTGTTGCCACTTTTGTAATGTCAATGAATATGTGTTCTCACTTTTGTAATGCTCGTTGTAATAGAGAATTTGTAATCGCAGATACAACTATAGTATGTCATTGAATAATACTGGTAATAATACTTGCTCGAATAGTAATCCATATAGTGAAATAGTATAGGGAATAGCAGTCCGTATAGTAATAGAGGATAGAGTAGAAATAGAGATTTGAATAATAATAGAGGATAGACTAGGAATAACCGTCAATCTTGATGTCATGTAACTTCCTATATATATGTTTCCTCTATGGTAACGTGATCCATTTAATTCAATAATGGGATCGCCTATGTTTGCCCACTGGTGATTTATGTTCAGACTCAAGTGTTGGCGGTGACACTTTATTCCTATATAACAATTATCAGCAAAATGTTCACTTTGATTCATTCAACTGTCAAAAGGAGCTGACAAGGATGGCAATTCACAGGTATTGCTTGGTTTCTTTTAGACAAGAGTTCATTTTTACAAACTGATATACAAAAATGAGATAAATTTCATATTTTCATAAAAAGTTCAAAATCAGAGTTAACCCCTAATTTTTGATAAACTTTCACAAATAACTATAGAAAGATAATTGTGTACCTCTCTCTAAACTTGTAGAATCTTCTTTCTGTTCATTTCTTTTCTTTTATTACTTCCTTATCGGCAGTGGTGCTGTTGTTGACTTTTAGTTTTCCTTTGTTCAGATCCCAGAAACAGCCCACTGTCATTTGCCCATGAAAGCCAAATCCATCCTGATCCTTAAACCAACCAGATCACTTAAATAGCCTCAAATCAAAAATTGAAAACTATAGGGTGGAATTTACTTTCTCTATTGACTAAAAAAAAAAAAATAAAATCATAAAAGTATATCTTTAAACTATGTCTATTCACAAACTTTATTTTGGTAGGTTTTGAGACCATTAGACTTGGGCCTCTTTTTATACAAATTTTTGAAAACCAAATTTTATAGATGTATCTTTTTTATAAACTGTCAAGCTTTATTTTGGCAGCTATTTTACATCATAAAATGTTATACATGCAATTTTTATAATTACCAAATATACTTGCATATCACGTGACTTTTGAAGACCTAATTTTGAAGATAATTTTAAGGGGATTGCATCATACACAAGATGTGACAAACATTCCATCTGTGTGAGTGGGGCTGTAGGGTGGAAAATAATAAGGATACAGAGATGTTTTTAGACTCTAGTAAAACTGGAAAATGAGTACTAGGCAGCTCCTACCCAAATATGAAAGGAGTACTTCATTTTAGGCCTGATTTGGCTCTTGTAAGGGTAGAAGATAGCATGAGGAGTCAAGTACTTACTAGAGCAGTACAGGGAACCAACCATTTTTTCTGCATCTTTAGTGTTGGATCATACATATGAGTTCCACTTGAGGGCTAGGGTGAGTTTAAGACGCAATAATCACTATTATAGTCATGGCATACTTAGAAGTCTGATTGGCAGTTATATAATTTTTTTATATAGAAAGGGAAAAAATCTGAATTCAGAAAACAGTCATTTTTTTCCCTTCTTCATGGAATATAAGTTACAGTGATCTTGAGTAAATATGTTTTACTATGAATCAATTTTTTGCTTATAGGCATCAATCATGAAAGAATATTGTGGTTGTATTTCAAAATTCTTTTCCCTTTTATTTCTTTTATCTTATTTCTCTTGCTTTTTATTGCAACTACTAAATTGCCATTCTACAATCATTCATGCACAATTCAAAGAATAAGCATTTTTGCAGATTTTTATTCTTTGTTTTTTTTGTTTTCTGATAATTTTAGAATGACAATGAAAGATAACAGAAATAAAATGAAAGAAATAGTCATATTGTAATAATGATAATAATTGACAATGCTTCATCTAAGAAATTTGAATTATATTTAATACTTCTAGTGTCAGAAAGTCAGAAGCTTTACAGTAAAAAGAATTTCTAATAATATTAGGTTGTTTCACGTAAAAATGCTGATTTTGTTTTAAGTTTGGCATTTTTACTTATTATTTTAGAAAAAAAATTGTAATTGCTATTTTATTTTAAAATATAGTCTATTTTAAAATATATTCTATTGGTCCCAAATTCTTTTAGGTGCTTTTTCAAGATGCTTTCAGTTCATGATATTCACATTTTTATAAATACATATTTTTCTTTGCATTTTAAAAATTTAATTTGGTTGTTCCATATTGAACATCTGATAGTTGGGTAAATGCTACAATTTTGTGTAAATAATGCTTTGCTTTGTACTTTGTTGAATAAAAACAAATCAGTCCGTCCGTGTGTGTGTGTGTATATATATATATATATATATATATATATATATATATAGATAGATAATATTAGTGGTAAATATACATACATATGCAAAATATATAAATACCCATACATGTATATTTTTTGAATAAAAATTCAAGAGGAAGAATCCAGGTAGAACTCAATGTCCAGGACAGAGTAAGGATATAATAAAAAGGCTTAAACACTAATATTCCATGGTCATATATATATATATATATATATATATATATATATATATATATATATATAGGAATGGTTAGGATAAAAAATCTACATACATACACACACGCACACACACACTTACTCCTATGTATAACTATATTTCTCCCTCAGGTGTTATAAATACAATTCTCGATGTGAAACAGCTATAAGTATATATTAGTGAATATATATAATATCCAATTTTGATAACACGGCTCAAGTTTCATGCAGTTCTTCCAATCTTCAGGTGCAAATAAGAGAGAATATCAGCTTCTGTATATGATATCATAGTGTTATTGTAGTTTGTCAATTTTTGTTTCATATTTTTTTTATTTTCCTTGCTTATTTATTTATTTATTTATTTTTCAAGGGTGACCAAACCTTCTTGACCTTTGTCAACACAAAAGGTTGGGATTCAAATTTAAAAGACCTTGACAAATATATCCTAAGAGCTTTGTTCCGGTGTAAGTATATTTCTTCTTATTGGTTTATTATTCTGCAAGTGAAGAATTTTCTTCTGCCATGAGGAATGTTTTTCCTATCACTTCTAAATAATGGTACATTGCCATAAGATTTTCTCTCTCCTCAGTATTTTTTGGTTTTTTGTTGGTATTTTTGTAATAATTTTTAGTTTCTATAGTTTTCATCATTCCAATTCTGTGTGTCCATGCTCAATAACTATAAAACAATGTTAACATTTATTAATTAGTAAAATTTTATAATAAAAAAAAAAATATATATTTTTAACTACTTTGAAACCAAGAAATTTAGAATTCAAGTTTTATTCAATTAAAAAAAAAGTTTGAAGCTTTAACTCATTAAATCTAACAGTGACGAACAATATAAATTACCCAGCTTTGCTAAAAAAATCAATTTGTTTAACTTTTTTCAAAGAAGTCATATGTGTTCAACACTTTCATGAGTTGTATCTGTAGCCATTCAGAACTATAGGGAAAGATGTCACCTTGACACAGTATGTTGGGAGTTATATATTTGAATGCATGATGATACTGAAAATAGAGCATGTAAAAGTTATGAATCACTATGTAGTTCATTTCTTTTGCTCATAACTGTATACAAGTTACAGTATCAATAATGAACCAAGAAGACAGTAATCCTTGCTTTTCTTGTTAGCATAATCACTGTACACTTTCAAAGTGACTGACAAGTTGTTTATAAACAAGTGAAATTTTATTAATTTATATAAAAGAAAATTAACAGAAAATGATAACTAAAAAAATGGTTGGCAAAGATGGACAAATATAAGCAGATGTAGTGTGATAAGTACCGTTTTTCTCATGAAATTTATAATAAAACTTAAACACATGATGAAAGTGAATTTATGCCTCATTTTTTGTTCTTGAGAATTTACAACAAAAGTATTAAACACAATTAGATTTTTAATTTACAAGAATAATTTTATATTTACAACATTTTAAAAAAATAATGCAATGCAACATTTATCATTATAAAGAAATAAATGTGAAAATAATTTTTTCTTCATAAATTTATAAACATTTACTAAATTATTAAAATATGTGAACCAACTATAAGGAAATCATTATTTACCATTTTATAGTTTGAATCAGTTTGTAGTTTGATGATGTTTTGCCAAACATCCCAATAAATAATAGCATAAATAATGTTATTTTTGTTGTCAATCCTTAAGAACAAAGAAAATGTATAAATTCACTTTCACTTGTTTAGGTTTTATTAAAATTTTAATCCTTGCTTTTTAAAACAATAAACATTGCCAACAAGTAAAGGTAGTTAAAAAAAGCAGTGTTATGGGAAAATTGTTCTTTTGACATTGTCTTATTGTAGGCAGGTATATATTTGACAAAGGTTTATTAGACTTTAAAGGTAATTAGAGAAAAATAACTTTATTAAATTCATAAAATGCTACAATGAAAATTTTGTAATGTGGGTAAACTTATGGATATTTTATGATACAAATTTTCGAACTATTTTCCCATTGTCTATAGAAATGTCATCTCTCTCTCTCATATATATATATATATATATATATATATATATATATATATATATATATATATGGCATTTTCTGTCTGTCTGAATCAATTTTGCGCCTAAACTTGTAAACCAATATTGATGAAACTTTGCATACATGTTAAATTAACATCCAGTTTGTTACTAGGCTAATTGTTTCTTTTTTTATAAAAATCTATAATGTAGCTGATAGGTCCCCCTAAATCACAGCTCGCTGCCAGGTCTTACTCACACAGTTCACTGTGTTTAGCATTTAATTTAATAGGAAATTAAATTGTTTCAAATTTTGCCATGTGCATCATTAAATTTGCCAGGTTTGAATTTATTAAATACAAAGAGATTGGCTCAATTCATTTAGTCATTTAAATGTAAAATGACATTTAAATTGAGCTTATTTGTGAATAGAAACTTTACCTAAGCTTATATTTCAACCTACCCTTAAAAAGGCATGTTGTGGTTGTTGTCTGTGGAATAACAACCTGTTTGAAGGACACTTTCATGCTACATACCATCTGTGTAAAAAAAAAAAAAAAAAAAAAAAAAAAATATATATATATATAGCTGTGGAAATAGACTTCCTTCTTAAAAAGTCCAAATGCCTTTAATTGGCATGAGTCATGTACACTTCCCTGTTTTACTTTTAATTACAGCAGTTTAATTAGATGATATCAATTCAAATTGTGGTAAAAAGCAAAACTGTAAGAAACAACCAATCATCAGGTGTTTATGATTTAACTGTACTATTTATTTGTTTGTGTTGTAAATCTTTTCTTAATATGTGTTATTCTATTTGTAAATCTATAAATCTATTTGCAGGTCTATTGTGAAACTATATGTCAGTCTATTTGTACATCTATTATAAATTTATTTTAACACTAGTCTTCCTAAGGGCTATATTCTCTGTGAATGCACAAAAGCCCTTTTCAGGACTGCTTACTTTGAATTGTTATTTTTGGATAATTGATTTGCCTGTTATTATGTAAGTTACTTTACAATTTGGGTATTCATAACTTGGTATTTCCTCCAAAACTCCTAGGGGTAGCAGTTGGATATTATCTGTGAATGCACAAAAGCCCTTTTCAGTGATACTTATTTTGAATTTTTACTTTAGGATAACTGAAGAAAAGATATAAGTACAGGAACTGGAAATAACATCTGCTTTTCTGGGAATGACTGTGTATCTCAGCTAATATATATATATATATATATATATATATATATATATATATATATAAAAACATAATTTATTCTGAAGTATTAAAAACAATTAGTAAAATCAATTTATGCATCATCCCTCTTACTTAGAAATAAAGCAATCATGCTTTTTTTTTTTCTCTGCACCAAAAATAACATTTTTTTTTATTAATTCTGTTTCATCAGTTCCGTAGTTAACAGTTGCACTATTGCATGAATTACGTTATTGGCAAATAATTTTGGTTCAATTGTGCATGTGCGAGAGAGATAGAAGTAGAGCGACATCTTTTTCAAATCATGGAACATAGGGTCACAAAATCATGTGGTTTGAGTGAGCAAGTATTTTTATGTCAGTGGATTTACTAGCTCTACACCCAACCAGGTGTTGTTCTCTTAAATTGGTTGCCAGCCAAAACTAGAGGTGCCAGTTTGCCCTGCTATTTTTACCTAAAGCTTGGTAAAGAAGAAATAGATTCATGTCTTTCCAAAGAGCAGTAGCATGAAGTGAATGCAATAAAGTCATTCAGAATATTAACTCAGCTTGCTACTTTCGATCTCTACACTGATAGCCATGAAACTAACAAACACACACACACACCCACACACACACACATATATATTTCACAAAAATCACTGACAAAGAGGAAATAATTTTTCATGTGATGTACTTCGTCCTTTAGGACTTCATCAGACTAATGTGATGTTTATGTCGATATAGCTACACGTGTGCGAGAGGGGATGGTGAAATTTTAATCTTTAAAAAATTTTTTTTTTTTTTTTTTTTTTTTTTTTTTTTTAGTGGTAAAAACAAATAAAAAGAAACTGAATGAAATTAGCTAGACTATTTGCCCAAACACATATTTAAAAAAAAAAAAAAATTCAAAAGAATTATTGCGGGAATCAATCTCTTTGATTGTGAGATATGATCATGTTTTAGTAAATATTTGTAATATTTGGTGGATTCATGTGAGTCCAAGCAAAATTAAGAAACACCAAACATGGAAGTTAAAATAGGTAATGTATTTTATTAACAAAAGGAATTATATGTGTACACAATTGAAATCAAAAGAAAAGACATTAAAACTAGCTATAAGAATGTGCTTGTTTGTGTATATGTGAAACAAGCATGTGTGATACACGTGTTTATTAAAGTTCAGTAGTCAAATCGAGCTGGGGAAATGATCACATCCCAGTGGGCATTCGCCTTTAAAAGTTACAAGAAGAAAATTAGAAAGAGAAAGAAATATTTGCCTTTTTATTGACTTAGATAGCACCTCCTAATGGTCGTTTTTGGTGAATCCAAATGTGGTAACCCACAGATTACAATTTCAGCATCCTTTCTTCTTCATGTGCATGTATAATTATGCATTGATATTTTTTCCAAACCTTATTCTGGTATATAAAATTTTCCTATCATTTTTGTTCCATGAGTTAAAATATGGGGAAAGGCCTACTCAATATCCAAGATAGTGTTTATAGATATAAACTTAATACCTGTTCTTTTATTGACCTGTCTTAATAATGTTTTTCTTTTTCTAATATTCTTTCACACTCAGTAACCACTTGCAGTGTAGTGGCTTTATTGTTTTGCTTTGGGTGAAATCATTAAAAAGAAATAAAATTGAAAAATGAACAGTGTGGACATCACCATGTATCAATTCCTACACACACACACACACACACAATGCTAATTTTAATTTGTGAATATACAATAAATATTTGCCACTCCACAAAACCGTAATCCTTTTTTTTTTTTTTTTTTTTGTTTAGTGGATACCCAAATATTATAGCACCTGATTCAATATCACAATTGTAGTAGGACAAGCAGAAATTGCTCAGTTCCTTTAGTAATTACTAGAAAGTAATTAATATTACATTCCACTATTATGACTTTTTTAATAATTGGTTAAGGTACTAATGTATTTGAAAGTTATTTTCATTTTGAAAGCCGAATCAGTTTAAAAGAATGTCTAATCTAAAAAAATAAATTTAAAAAAGAAAAATCTTCACTCAGCTTTTTCTATTTATTTTTTTTTATTTTTAACTTTTTCTATTTCTAATTTTATTGAACTGAAATTATAAGTTGAATCACAAAGTTGACAGATATTTTTGATTATAGCTCTGAGGAATATTGAATATCTACATTTATATTTCATATGTTTAGGCTTTATTACAATTCTAATCATTGCTTTTTAAAACAACA